CCATTCATCGACACCTCAAAATGGGAGTACTTCGACCTCAGCTGTAAAAGCCGAGATGACACCAATGACAAGGCCATGGCCTGCCATGTTCTGCCATGGACCATGGGCACCACACCCATATGCGGCAAATTGCTTGGAACAATGCCTGCAATTTACGGAAATGGAGTCTAGATGCGATGGCCTTCACCTACCAGCGATGGCCTCCAACCTACTGGCGAATTTACGGAAATAGAGTCTAGATTTGCAGATTACACCTACTACAGTGGATGGACTCCGTCCACAGCCGACTGAAATGCCTCCCTTGGCAGGTGTTGCATGATGCTGTGGCCTCCGGGAAGCGCTTAGGGGCAATCTTTAAGGCGCTTCTAGTTGCCTCTCACATGCTGCAAGTGAAGGGCTGGCCAAATGATGGGACAAAGCCTGGTTGGTTGGTTGGTTGGTTGGTTGGGAAAGAAGGAGGCTCTGGGAAACGCGAGCTTCTGCCTATAGACTTGAAAAAGTAGGGGCCAGAGGTCAAAGCGGTGATGACGCAGAGTGGTGGAGTTCAATTGGTGGGAAATAGTGGGAGGTTTCATCGAAGATGGGCGCCATATTGCTGTGCAGGAGCCAACGATCACTCCAACCACAGAGCAGGCTTGGATGCAACACGCACTAAACTTCGTTCGACCAGCCAGCCTTGGTTTCCAATTCATGTCTCCCACGAGTTGGTACTTTGTTTGTGCAGTCTCGTCTATTCTTCCATCACAGGTCAAGGAGTTTGGCTTGAAGAAGCCTTTTGGCTCTCCCAATGGTGCCATGAGAAGGACGCCTTGGGTGCCTGAATGAGTTTTGGTTCAGGGTAGCATCCGGCCAGCAGTTCAGTGGGTTAAGGGACACCAGAAGTGGCGCTTGCGCAGACCTGACACTCGTGGGGTTTGACTTGACACTCGTTGGACACCAGGGGCTGGAATGGCATCACCATCTCCCGCGACACCATTCACATCCCAGGCCCTTGGGATCTGCCGAGTGAAGGAAGGTTAACCAGGATGCAAGTGATGCGAGCAGGTGGATCCCAAGATGGCCATGGGTTAGACAACCAGCGAGATTTCGTTTCATTGCCTTGTTGTTTATAAGCCTGTGCTTTCTGGAGCCGAGAAGGATTGGGGCAATGTATTGTGAGAATCTAGGCAAAGAATGGCAAAGAAGGGGGGAAGGGCTGAAACTTCAATTAGCGAATGTTGATAGCGGACTGTAGCGGATGCATTTTTGCGACTTATGGCTAGGTGTAGGGCGTTTGCTGACTTGGGCTTGACTTGCTCTTCTTTGCTTTGCTCTTTTTTCCTCGACTGATTGATCTGACGGAAGTGGGCAACATGTAAAGGAGGGAGTTGTTGCGATTTGGACTGAAAGTAAGACAGACAGGGTCTACAAAAACGGCCTGGACGCCATTCGGTTTGGAGCGGCACCACGGAAGACTGCCGGAGGCATCAAGTTGGGCTTTGAGCGGCCTGTGTACTTTGAGCGCCATGCCGTAGGCGGCGAATATGGCGCTAGCTGGAAGGCTCACCGCGGGTGGTGAGCTGCAGTGCCTTATATATGCTAAACAGGAGTAAATGCTCACATATAGCTGTGTATGGGAATCACGTCATCCGATTCCCAGATGGGATGTGACTAAGCGTGGTGCAGGCTCAAACCTTTTTGGAAAGCAGCAAACTGCCCAACTGGATGGACACTTCGTGTTTACCAAGCCGTTTATATATGGACTAGAGACCTTGCACTCGATCCACGAAAATCAATGCTTTCCAGTTTCGAGAACTACTAGGAGCAAGGACGCTACTGGGGGCTCCTGGCCTTACTACTAGGAACAAGAAGCTATTTGGGGCTCCTGGCATCACTACTAGAAGCAAAGACGCTACGAACGGGGCACATGTTCACTTATTTTAGGACAGGAATCAACTTTCATCAACCGCAGAAACACAAACGAATTTGTGTTGATGACAGCATGGCAGGACACGAAGTACTACTGTTTTGGGACCTACTTCTCAGAAAAAGAACCACTCTTACTGGACACATCGTGCGAACTGACAATACTCAACGTGACCCCTTGAGACAAGCTGCTTACTCACCTGATTCAGCTAACAGCTATACAATTGGAAAAAGGCGAGTTGGAGGTCCAAGACAGCAGTGGCATCACCTCACAAAAACATGTTTGGGACAATTTGACGGACGAACGGGCAGAATATGAAAACACAGAAAGACCAAGCCCAAAAAAGCCATCAATGGCTCTCGCGCGACATTTTTAAAGCTGTCGCATTGCGGGCCCCTGGAGGCTTTAGTACCCATAGCAGAGAAAAACAGAGTTTTCTTTTCTTAAAATGAGCTCAACTACTATATTACTATGTTTTAAACATATACATATTGTCTATTGTATATATTGTATGTGAGAAACGCCCCGTGAGTTAAAACGATACGCCAAACGCGGTTGCTTTTATGCAGTGTTTCGGCTGCAGCTTTCTATGCACCGCGCTCGGGACTGTTCGTGCGATTGCTGCGCAGCCCTGGGTCGCGTTGCGGCGGTAGCTGTGGACGAAGAGACTTCCGAGGAGCATCGGAGGTACATCACCCGCGTGCTTGAACGAGCATACACGCGCATCCTCGAGAAGGGGATCGAACTACTTCGTCAAGCTCGCGGCGGAGGCGAGGAGGCTCCTGGGGGAGGGGAGCCGTCGGGAGTGGTTGAGTCCACTCCTGGAGCAGGGTCAGCGGCGCCACCAGCTGACCCTCAGGCTGAAGTCAAAGACGAGAAGACTGAGGCCGAGGAAGAAGCTCCGAAGAAGAAGCGGAGGAGAAAGAGACGCGCAAAAGCTGAAGGAGAGGAGAGAGAGACTGCCACCGAGGACAACCTGCCACCCCCTGTTGAGGCCACCAAGGACGAGAAGGAAGAGAAAAGGATTGCTGAGGACAAGAAAGTTTCCCTTGCACCAGAGGTTTGTGCGGCAAGAGATCAAAGTCTGCCCGAGAAGGATCACAGGTTGCCTTTGCCCCGGAAGATTGCCAAGCCCAGCTCAAAGCCCCTTGAGCCGCAGAAAGAAAAGAAAGTCAAGGAAGAGCCGGACAACAGGTCAAGTGGGTCTTGCCCTCTCAAATTGAGGCCCAAAGCAAAGACAGAGAGAAGAAGGTCAGCCAGTCGTGAGAAGGAGTTCAAGGACAAGAAGAAGAGAAGGAGCCCATCCCCGCAGAGTGATATTGCAGGGGGAGACGGAGGTGTCTCCTCGATTGGTATTGAGGCGGAAGGCGAAGGTGCGACGCTGGTGGAAGCTCCTCCTGGTGATTGGGAGGAGCCCTCAACGAGGACGAGGAGGCCCAAATCTCCGGATTATCCTCCACCACTTCCTCGCCGCCCTAGCAGAGGCCAGTTGTGGATTGGCCCCATCCGTGCCTACAAGAACCGACCTGTCGCCAAGAAAAAGAACAAGGGTGTGAAGAAGGAGCTCAAGAACGAGCGCTACTGGGAGAGGCGGCGCCAGAGGTTGTGGGAGGAGCGGACCCGGGGCTATAGAAGGCGGTAGCCTGGGTGATGCCTCCCAAGAGGCGGCCAGCAGCTGCAGTAGTTCGAAGAGGAGTGCTTCGTCGCCCTGCAGGGGCCCCAGTTGCAGCGGAAAGAGGATGGCAGACAGCGGGAGAGGTAGACAGCGATACTCTCCTGGCATGGCCCTGGATCCATATGAAGGGGCGGTTTTGGGACGAGGACGTGGAGTTGATCGGCAAGATATTGGAGGTGAAGCGAAGAGACAGTGGCCGCGAGGTGACTATGAAGGCTTCGGGTACCCCGACAGAGAGTCTTCTCAAGGCTCTGACTGGAATCCCATCCCGGCAGTTGAGGGTTCATCTATGTGGAGATCCTTGCGAAGCGCTGGTCTGGGACGAGGCCTACGTGCACTGCAGCCAGGTGCGAGAAGCTCAGAGGCCAGAGGTTGGTTGGAGCCAGAACTTGGAGGCAGCTGCGGGAAAGGACGAGGAGGACGAGTTGAAGATGCTCCGGACGTCCGTGGAAGAGTTGAGAGAAAAAGGAAAAGGAGTGGGCAGTCAGCCAACAAAAGGAAAGAAGAGGGAGAAGTCTCCTGGTACATCGCGAGACGAGAAACAAAAGAAGAAGAAAAAGAAGAAGAAAGAAAGTCTCGATGAAGATCCTGGGAAAGAAAGGGCTCGAGAGCCTTTTCGCCTTTACAGGCCTGGACCCAAAGCCGGACATCCGGCGGAAGGTCAAGAAGAAAGCAAGAAAGGTGGCGAGGCGAAGTCGAAACAAGAAGAGAGGCAGCAGTTCCTCAGGCTCGGAGACATCGTCCAGCTCCAGCCAGGAGAGTGCCGGCGTGGAGGACAAGGATTTGTTCGAGCCGGCTACACCCACCCAGAGGGTGTGGAAACTATGCCCTGGGGCCCTCACGATGACTATGATCGCCGAGGCCAAGGAGGCGTTGTTGACGCAACTGGGATCGGCATCCGAGCCTATGGAAGGAGCAGTACCCCCATTGGCTACGCAGTACGTCCGGCAGATCCTTATGCCGTCGATGAGTGGACCGGTCGCCCGAGAAACCCATCATTGGGGTCCGATGCTGGACCTCCTATTGACAGGACAAGTGGCTGCGGCAGCCGACCTGGGAGCTCAACGGCTCAAAGCCCTAGAGGGCCACTCCAAGGGCATGAAACCAGAGTTGCTTCGGCAGTTGGAACTCGTGGCCCAGGAGAAGCCATCCCTCTCCAGTACGACAGAGATCATGAAGGCTGGCAGACAGGCGAACGAGGAGATGAAGGTGATGCAAAAAGCGAGCTACAGAGACACATCCGAAAAGGGGAAAGGTCCTTGGAGAGACTGGAGAGACAGGTTCGACAAAGGGGAGAAGACTGGCAAGGGCGAAAAAGGAAAGAAGGGAAAGAACGAGGGGAAGAAGAAGGCAGCCTAGCAGTGCAGTTGGCAAGAAACCGGGACAGCAATCTCAACTTGGGTGGCATTGGTGGTGGCTATGGTGGGGAGTGGCTCAGTGGCAGAGCTACTCCTCGAGAAGCAGATGGAGTACAGCGGAATTTTGGGGTGGAGCGATCTCCTAGTGGCAGGGAGGCTCGCCAACCACAAGGGAGTGGCATGGTTGCGGAGTCGGGGTCATCGACTATATCCTCGGCACCGCAGTTTCACGAATTCACACAGGAGTTTGTTTTTGAAAGGCAGCCCCAACCTCAGTCGGCGGGACTTCATTCCGAAGACACTGCCACGATGGTTGATATGCAGCGCATGCCTACACCGCCACGGAGGACGATGAGCGAGGTTTTTCAATGCGCCTTGGGCACCCTTCTTTGTGACGACAAGATGCGCTCCAACATGGGCGAAGGCAAAATGGACCAACAGGACTTCATGCCCTTGCCCGTGCCCCAGGCGAACAAGACGTTGGCGGCAACCATCATGGCCGTCAATCATCTGGGAGGCTGGAAAACCCGGCCTCCTGGTGAGGAGAACGTGTCAGACTCTCAGAGCCTCGCGGTGAAAAATTTGAGCGAACTCGTGGATCGACATGGCATGTGGAAGATTGAAGATGTCAGTGTTAATTTCGAGGATTTCTTTAAGAGAAAGTCCGTGGATTATTTGGGTGAAGAGGTGAAGGTTGGTATGACTATGAATTGGCAGGCTATTCATGATTCATTTCCTCAGGAAGTTGGCTGTTTAGAGCTTGAGCGGTTTTGTCGCCTTGGCACTTTGGAATACGTTGTAAACTTTGAAGATTTTCTCCTCCCCCAGCAGGACTGGAAATACACTAAGCCCCCAAGGGTTATGGTGGAAAAGGACGGTTGGTGGGAGCTATGTCATGGACTTATTGACCAAAAAGTTTGCGAAGTGATGCCTATTGACCAGCTTTGTCATGTGCAGGGAAAACCACTTCTAAACGGAATGTTTGCTGTGGGCAAGGGAGAGTATAAAGGCGGATTGGAGACGCAGCGGCTCATCATGAACCTCATCCCAGTCAATACACTATGTAAGCCCTTAGCTGGAGATATTAGCACACTCCCGGGCATCGCGGGACTGTCGGGGTTCCTCCTCGAAGCGGGGGAGGTGGTTTTGCTCAGTAGCGAAGACATTCGGTGTTTCTTTTACCTGTTCAGTGTGCCTGAACAGTGGAAGCGCTACTTGGGCTTCAACAAGCTGGTCCCTTCAGATCTTGTTCCCCCGAGGTTTGGTGATCGGGCATGTGTGTTGGTGGCTAGGGTGTTGCCTATGGGTTTCGTGAACAGTGTGTCGATTGCTCAACACGTCCACCGGAATGTGATCAAATGGGCATCGATGGCTGGAGTAGGAGGAGAGCATGAAATGCGCAAAGATAGGCCTTTGAGTTCAGGAAGCCGATTGTATCGCATCTACATCGACAATTTTGATCTGCTTGAAAAGACCGAGGGTCGGTTGGCGGACAAGATCAAGGGTGGCGTTGCTGATGCGGTGGCTCAGGTGCGCGACATGTATGCTTCCATGGGCTTGCCAAGGCGCCCCAAGAAGTCGGTACAGAGGGCTTTGCAAGGGGAGGTTCAAGGTGCTGTGCTGGATGGTGAAGCGGGTTTTGCTGTTCCAAAACCGGAGAAGGTGCAAGTGTATTGCAAGCTGGCAGACGAGTTGATCCGTAGAGGACAGTGCACTCTGAGGGAATTGCAGGTCGTTTGTGGAGGCTTTATTTACATTTGCATGTTCCGCCGAGCCCTGCTCTGTTGCCTAAACGAGGTCTTTGTGCATACGCAGAGGTTTGAAGGTGAGGCGCCTGTGGTGAGGCTAGGTCTCCCGTGGCAGGTCAAGGTTGAGCTTTCAAGGTTCATTGCTCTTGTGCCGCTAGCACAGATGGACTTCCGTGTTCCCATTGATGGCGTGGTCACTTGCTCAGATGCGTCGACGCAAGGAGGTGGTGCATGTTCGTCCACTGGGTTGAGTGACTATGGACGGGCAGCGTTGAATGCTCAGGTTCGAGGGGATGTGCCAGAACCCGACGACTTGGTTCAGGTGTTGTCGGTTGGGTTGTTCGATGGGATCGGCGCCCTTCGGGTAGCGTGTGATGTGTTGGGGCTCCCCATGGCAGGCCATGTGAGCATTGAAAAGGACCCGAAAGGGCATCGTGCGGTTGAAAGTTTCTTTCCTGAGACCGAATTCTTTGACGATGTTGTGGAATTTGGCGCCGAGCAAGTGGCGGCACTTGCCTTGAAATACAGCAATGTAGGTGTGGTTCTGGTGGGAGCCGGTCCACCCTGCCAGGGAGTGAGTGGGCTCAATGTCGACCGCAAGGGTGCTGTACGTGATGAGCGTAGCTCCCTGTTTGTGCACGTTCCCCGTATATGTGAGTTGTTTCGTAAGGGTTTCCCTTGGGCCCAGGTGCATGAACTGGTTGAAAATGTCGCCTCCATGAGTTGTGAGGACAGAGCACTGATGAGCCAGGCGTTTGGGCGGACACCCCATAAGATTGACTCGAAAGGCATCTGTTTATGCTCTCGTCCTAGGCTGTACTGGGTTACTTGGCCGGTAGCGGAAGAGCAGGGCGTGGTCATTGCACAGGGCGACGACACGGCATGGAAGAGGCATGATATGATTTTCCTGGACGCGGAAGTCGACAGTCGTGCTTTCCTTCAGAAAGGTTGGAGCCTTCGCGAGGGGTGTACTCTGCCTACATTTACAACCTCGAGACCGCGAGCACTTCCAGGGCGTAGACCCGCTGGACTGGACACATGTGCTGCACATGAGCTAGCTAGGTGGACAGAGGACTCATATAGGTTCCCCCCGTACCAGTATAAAGACAACCATGGCTTGTGGAGCAAGAAAGGGGGCTGGAGACGACCCAATGTCCAAGAACGTGAGTTGATCATGGGCTTTCCTCTGGATTACACGAAAACTGTGTAGTCAAAGCTGAGCAGAGAGGTGCTAGTTATGACGATGCCCGTCTCAGCCTAATTGGCAACTCCTGGCAGGTGGGAGTGGTAGCCTGGCTGATTATGCAACTCATGGTGCCACTGGGTCTATGCGTCAGGCGTTCTTTACAGGAGCTTGTCAACGAGTTCACCCCCGGAAGAGGAAGTAGTCTCTACCACGTGCTTATGAGACCTCCTTTTCCAGGAAGACAAGCATCCTCGCCGAACCCCGATACAGCTGATCTTGTCCGCAAACTTCTAGGCATGGCCACATCGAAGGGCGAGGACCTCATGATTCATGCAGGAAGCGACCCCCTGCCTCGACATGCTCGACTTCGCGCTAGTATCCCTGGGAGGCTGTGGCGCTGGAAAGAAATTAGTGGCTGGAGGTGGCGACATGAAGGGGATCATATAAATCTTTTGGAGCTACGGGCTATATTGACTACTATACGTTGGAAGATTCTTCGTGGAAAACGTCTTCGGGTGCGCTTCCTGCACCTCACAGATAGCCTGGTGTGCTTACATGCATTGACGCGGGGAAGAAGTTCCAGCCGGAAGCTCCGGAAGACCATCCAAAGACTAAATGCCTATCTGATCGCAGCTGACCTTCACCCTCTCTGGGGGTACATCCACACATCTCAGAACCCCGCCGACCGCCCGAGTCGGCGGCCCATGTGTCGAAAATGGGCAAAGTAGGGAAAAGGGTACTAGAAGGTCAGACTTGTGAGGATAGGCAAAAAGCAAGACAGAAATTAGGATCCCTGAAATCTTTAACTGTGTCCGAAAAAACTCGTGCTAGGTACGACAACGCCACTTCCAAATTTGCTCAGTGGTTGGACGAAAATGACCTCACCTTGCCGCGCAAGAGGGACCAACTTGATGGTTTGTTGGCTGAGTACGTGGAGTACTTGTGGTCACAAGGAGTTGGTCGAGCTCAAGCATGTGATACACTCGCTGGGCTGCAAGACAGAGATCCGAAGTTGAAGGGACACCTTCAATTGTCATGGCGGTTGATGAGAACATGGAGCACAAATGAAATTCCAAATCGAGCGCCGCCTTTGCCCCAAGATGCCGTTGTTGCCATGGTAGGATGGGCCTTTTTCCACGGCCATTTCAGTTTTGGGGTTTCGTTATTAGTGGGTTTCTATGCTATGCTGCGCACCGGTGAGTTGTTGCATTTGAAAAACTCCCACATTTACATGACGGGTCCAAAAAGTCCTGCCGTGATTTCCCTCGGTATGACTAAAGGCGGGAAACGACTTGGAGCGGCGGAGAGCGTGACTCTGTCAAGTGCTGATGCCTTAAAGTGGCTTTGGATTTGGAAAACCGGACATAAACCTCACGCGAACCTCTGTCCTACAAATGCTGCTTGGCGAAAGCTTTTTTCTGCCTGTCTCACTGCCTTGTCACTGGATGTGTTCCAGTTCCGCCCCTACAGCCTTCGGAGAGGAGGTGCCACATTTTGGTTTTCAAAGCACGGGAGCTTGGATAAGCTCATGATTGCCGGGAGGTGGCAAGCCGTGCGAACGGCTAGAGTCTACATCAACGAGGGCCTGGCAGTCCTCGCCGAACTTAGTTTGCCTAGGTCAAAACTTAAACCCTTCACCACTGTGTTTCACTCTGGGGTGCGACCTCAACACTTGAGCGCGAACAAGCGCAGAAAACAGGGGGACGTGGAAAGGACAGGACGGGCAGTTGGGACTGATTTTTAACCGGATTTTCTTTCCTTTTAAAAGGATACATCGGCCTAGGGCTCTCGGTTAGGCGGGAGGCCCTAGGAGGTGTGGGGGGTAAGGAACCGTTTCCGGCTAGG